ATCCCCGGTTTGGCTTTAGACACTTTTTGCTCTTTACTTTGATTTAGATATAGGATTAATCTGAAATTTGTGTTATTTCCTGAAATAATTCTAAATTCTTTCGTTAAAAGAACCACTAGATACTGTTATGGATTACTTGTCCTAAGTCATGATGAGATTTCTCCTTTGTGCTTGATTCAGGCTTTCAAAATCAGTTCACATCCAAACGGTGAGGCTTGCCTGCTTCAGGGAGACTCCAAACTTTATTTTGATTATTCCCATTTGTGGGGAAATTTCTTTACATATAAAAATGCAAGAAACATAATTGGGGGGGCCATCAAAACTTACTGATCTAATATGTTATACAGACATTTCGGAACTGTTCTTTTTCCAAATTTCTGTGTTTCTATAAGATGATTGAGCATTACTCTCAAAGTTACCAGAAATATTTTGAGGCAGGACTAGGTACCTGGATTTGCTCTTAAAATGACCTGTTTAATCAGCAAAATCGAGTGTTTTCAGTCATAAAAGAATGCTTATTGGTATTCCTTTGGTTTTAATATCTGATGGATATCTTTGAAAGTGACAGTATGCTTGGCTATAATTATGATAAATAAGTTCTGAAACCATTAAAGGGAAAATCCACACCAATCTGGATTTTCAAGAGCTGGATTCTGACTTACGGACAAAGTTGATATGGCTTATAAGAATGCTATGGGCAATCGCTTTCTAACCTTTTGGGGGAGCTAATTTCAAACCAACCATCAGGTCCCTAAGGGGAAATAATTACTGTACATTTTCAGTCTAAACCTTGAATGTGTCAGAATGCCATGGTAGGATGCCAGGTTCACGTAATGCTTTATTCAAATATACATATTATTTTTCCTGCAGTGTCTGAAGTACATTAGGCTCAAATCTGTTGTCTACTTTTGATCCCCATCAAGGGTTGCCAGTTCATATTAAAGAACCCATGTTATAATTTGCAAAAGCAAGAGTATTACCTAAATGCAAATAAACTGCTTCCTTCACTCCATTTCTAGAGGAGGGCTCTGGCCTTATAACTTTGAGAGAGGCTTGGCTTTATAAGCTCAATTTCCCTTTGTATTTCTTTAGTATAGTATCATCCCCATGCATGTAGGTTACAGCATAACACACTCATGCTATACAGCTTAACAATTTCAGCTCTTCCTGTACAAAGTTGTGAGTCAGGCCAAAGAGAGCTGGTTACCTGCAAGATCTTTTATAAATTTCATGGAAGCTTTTATCTCCAACACATATGTTGGATCGGAGATTCACCAGTCTTTAGTCATGTGAAACTGTTACCTTGTGTCTTCACATGGACCTTGGTGATGAACCGGAAGCAGCTATTTCTCTTCCATTTCTGTATGACTCTTTCTTAACAGCTTTCTATTGACTTGAAGGTTTTTTTTGTGTGTGTTTGTTTGTTTTGTTTTTTTTTTAAAGATTTTTATTGGGGAATTGGGGGAAGGGGAACAGACAAGTTGCTGTCGTTTTGTTCTTCAGTCTAGTTGTGGAGGACGTTGCTTCACTGGCCCAAGTTGGCACCATCATTGCGTTCTTCCCCGGCAAGGCACATCAGTTGCCGGCTTCTGGACGGCCGCTCACTGCGGCTGCTGGCCGCTCACGCTGGCTGCTGGCCGCTCACGCTGGCTGCTGGCTACACACGGTAGCCCATGGCAACCCACTGCCACAGGGGCTGCAGCCTACTCCGTCGCAGGCGACTCACAGCAGCCCAGCTCCAGGTTGAGCTGTTGTTCAGCATCTTATCTGTAGAGGGCAGTGTCACTGGCCCTCATATGTGGGATCCGAACCGGGACCCTCTGGTGTCCCAAGCCAGTTCTTAACCATCGCGCCACTCGGCCGGCCCTTGAAGGGTTTTTAAATGCTCTCTATTTACACCTTCATTTAATAACCCTTCCAATAATTCTGGCACCAGTATTGAAGGTGGTTTGATGTAAATTCTTTTGCCCAGAAATTAGCATATATATATATATATATATATATATATATATATATATATATATATATATAACTAAAAAGTATTCTTGAGGTTATCTATTTGTTTTAAAAGGAAGAATCATTATCACCTACAGGTATTACCCACCAAACACCAGGCCAGCTAGAAACTTGGCTATGGTCCTTATTTTAATAACATGACCTAATTTTAGCATCATATGAAGTCAACCGTGGTCTACATTCAGGCATATTTTTTCTTAGGCTTTCTGTACCTCTAAACACCCCATGAGTTCTTTAACTGTCCTCACTTTTGGGGTTGGAAAGACTACCAACCCATCTAATATCACCCCATGTTGAAAGCCTGGCCTTAGATTATTTTTTGCTCTCCAAGGAGCTAAAATCAGGAATGTGCTCATATACCTATTGCCAGCAGCTTTCTCTGTAAACCTAGTAAGGAGGCTTCTCTAAGGCATCTGTAGTGTCTTGTGAATGAAAAGTAAATAAACCAATTAATTTAGCTGTATAACAAGCCCCATTAATGGGATACATGTCATAAAATAGTATTCATAATAAAAACACAAATGAATAATACCTTCCCATGTTTGTCATTTTGTAGTTTGTACTGTCTTGAGAGTGGCTAATTCATTTGCCTATAGTCATAAGACACAGAGCCAGACTTAATTAAGCTCTAGGTCTTGCAACTAGTAATCCTGTACCCTCTTATTAAAAATCACGTTAATAGCTAACCGTGTCCCTAACCCTAACACTAACCCTAACCCTAATACTAACTGTAACCCTAACCCTAATCCTGTCCCTAGACCTAACCCTGTCCCTAAAAATAAATAAATAAATAAATACATACATACAAATAAAAATCATGTTAATAATCTTAAGAATAAAAACAATAAAAATAAACCACAGTGGCTAACAGCTAACTTTCTGTGAATCTTTAAATCTGAGTCAAGAAACGAATTTTCACTTGTCAGAAGTAAGCAATCAAAACATAATTATTTGTTATTTTGAGTGTTTCTAGCTGCTCATTACTCAGTTCATTAATTTTCTTTTTTTAAAGATGTTGATGTCATTGGTTGGATAGTTTGAGAAAAATGTCATGAAAGGCTTTTAGCTGCCATAAAATAATGGTAAGATCGTGTACAAGTGGAAGAGAATTAACGTGAAATTTTTGTTATTCATTTGTTTGTTTTTAACAATCCAAAAACTGTATATTTAAAATGCTTTTTTGTTACAAGAGTAGTGAGTTGATTCTTTTATCACAAATAGAAGTAGTTATAGGGAGTAGTTTCTTTTAAAATAGAATATTTACTTTATATTTTTAAAGGGGAGATTAGCACATTTAAATATTCATTACTTCAATTTAAAATAAAACTATTAGATAATTAAAGTGCTAAAAGCATAGTCTCAGTATTCTTTTTCTTATTATTTTAATTATGTTGAAACTGCTTACTAATCTATTATAATGAAACCCAGTGTACATATTTAGTTAATTAATTAAATTAATGTTTTCTGAGCAATGTTGGTAAAAGGGGTAAATAGTACCTGATAGTATGTTGAATTGTTATATTTTTCCAAGTTCTTTTGCATAGTTGAGTTTATTTCTTGAATAAGGAAATCTTAAAGAACATGAAAGCAAATTATTTCCCTTCTATCCTCATGCTTAAATAATATGTTACATGCAAAAATATTATTCTAAAAATGATTATTTTCTCATTAATAAGAAATTTTTATTTATACTAATTTGTGATTTTTTTCTACTAAATCATTGCAAAGACTGTCAACCTTTATAACAGTAGTTTTAGTATTAATTTTTCTAACCATGCATGATTCATTTGACCCCACAGTAGCTGTAGCTTGCTTGCCTTGTTTTTTCCCTGAAATTAAAAAAAAAAAGGTATATAGAAACACAATGAGCATTTGCTCTGTATAGCAAGACAGCAAAACAACTTTTAGTCCTAATAAATTGTGAACATTTTATTATTTCACACATGGATGTTGGAGATACATACATATATGACTTCTCTGAACTTTCTATGTTGAATGTGCACTGTTGTTAAACTACTTGTTTTTCTCTGCCCGCTCTTTGAAGAAGTCAATTAGGAATAATGGGAAACAAGGGGTAGGCAAAACATTGCAGTGCAGTGTTATTTCCATCTGTCTGAGAATATTTCAGCCAAAAGTTTATTTTGGGAAAAAAAAAAAAAAAGCCCTAACAGCCTCATACACACAAAACCACAAATACTTTGGCTGCAAATTATTCTGCAGTGTTGTTGCTGTGTTGTTGCTGTGTCTGTTCTTGTGTGTGAAGCTGCCACCCACCCATGCATGTGTTTGCAGATTCTCGTCTGTCTGCTTGTTCATGAATTAACTCATCCTCCTCCTGGTTCAGGTTCAGTTTAATCAACAGAACAAGAATTTATGGGTATGACTGTTAGCTGGAAAGTCCTTCCTCACTTCCAAGTCTTTCTTTCAAACTATGTCTTCTGCTGATATGTCTCAGTAGGATGAAGTATTCAGTGGTCAGTCAGTCAGTCTCTTATATAATACCTGGCTGTACCATATGCCCTTGATGGGTCTTGGCAAAATAATGTAATATTGTTTTCTCTCAGTTCATCTGTATTAGAAAAGGAAGCTGTTGGTAAGCATCACTTCCTTACCTGGGAGGAGTTGAATTGTCTCAGTCCTGCTTGCCCAATGACCAGGAGCAGACATCACAGCCTCTGCCCCCACCCATTCCTGACTTTTTGGTGGGAAAAAAAAGCAAAAGTAGCAACATTTAATAGAACAAAATATTAACAATAAAAGAAACTCTCCTGTGAAACTGTAATATAATTTAAGATCAACATTGTTCTAAGGTAGCTGAAATGTGTGATTTTTCCATTTTACCTTTTAACTGACAGTATACCCATAATTCTTGGTGGTTATTATTTTTTTTTCTCCAAACTTAATTTCTGGGCCATTGGTAGCTGCACTATCTCTTATTCTAAATTGTTGTCTTAACTACATTCTTTAAAAATATAATGTTGAAGGCTCATAATATTGAAGATGACTCCAGGATGAACCCCGAGTTTGCAGACCGAATAAAACAGCTCGATAAGGAGGCATCTTACTACCGCGATGAGTGTGGCAAGGCCCAAGCAGAAGTTGACCGGTTGCTGGAGATCCTCAAGGAGGTGGAAAATGAGAAGAATGACAAGGACAAGAAGATCGCGGAACTTGAGAGGTAAATTTTGCAGTCATTTTGTGACTCGTCAGCAGTGAGTGGACTTCTGCTACTTAGTGGCCCATCTCAGGTCACCATGGATTTGGGATGCATGTTCGTATTTCAAGTTGAAAACAAGTTACGTATGAGGAGTATGGTCTGTTAGGATGATGTTGGTCTGTTTGGGATGATGTTGGTTTATGTAAGATACTTAGAAGTCAACTGGCTTATCTTTTGATGGCGTATATACCTCCCCAGTGTTTAAGAAAAATAATGGTCAGCTTTCTTGGTTGATGGCCATCCTCTAGCATTTGTGTCAGCAAAGTATGTAAGAAATTGAGGCTTTGACTACCTGAAATCTCAGGGTTTTTTTTCCCATCAAAGACAAACTTGTGGTTTAGGTTTGTCTCATGCAAAGACTATGGAAGGTTATACAGTTGTTGGGAATTTATTTAAGATAGGGGAAAGGAAAGCGAGCTTATATCCTTCCAGTGTCTTTTGGCACACCACGACAAATTCTTCTTTGGGTTTATTTTGTAAGATGACCGATGGCATTTGGTAAATAAATATGTTTGAATAGGGTCTAAGGCAGGATACCTGATAGCAAATTCTGTCTAAAAACAAAGAGTTATATCAGGGTTCCAGAGTACTTAGATTTTCAGATAAATCATATCCATATTGTATTTAAGTATAGCATGGACTCTAAAAATAAGCTTTCTGCCAATGCTTTTTTTTGTATTTCATATAAGGAAAGAATTTCTGAATAATTTTGTGTAACTCCATAACCTTTTTAGGATTTCTCATTGGTTCAGTAATAAGGCAAATTTGTCTTTCCTAGATTCAGTACATATGGAAGAGATCAGCAAATTTTGAATAAATCAGTGAATGTTTGCCAGCTCTGACCAAGACACTTGTGAGGCCCTAAAGGACTTCAAGACATATGTAAAATAGTTCTCTGTGGTCTTGTGGAAAAGTCACAGGCTTTCACAACAGAAAGACCTGGGTTCAGATTTTGCCTCTGCCTCATGCCAACTATGTGACCTTGAACCTTGTTAGAAGTCAATCCCTAACAACATAACATATTAAAATGTATCTCACTTCGCAGGTACCAATTCCCCGTGTAAGGTGGGATAGTTATCTCATTATGAACAGTTGAATGCTAAAACAAATAAATTCTCAATATTAAGTGGCTGTTTATTAAATGGATAGGTTAGTTCTCAAAAAATTTCAACATTTTCAAATATAGCATTTAATATATTCAAACTCTAAATCAAATCAACCAATATTTCATTTAAAAATCTTAGCATTATTAATTGGATGATCTGATTTTTATTGAGTGTGACCTATTTTAGCAATTAAAGCAAGACATTTTTCTCCTGAGATAAGTATCTAAATTAAAAAAAAATTTAAGGGCTTCATTTTAATTTTAAAATGTGGGCATGCTCTGCCAGTCTACTGGTTCTTAAAAACACTGTTAATTTTAGATGTATCTACTTGGCTGTTTTGGAACTATATTTTAGGACCAAATTTTTTCTTAGAAAGCTAGTATAAGATCACAAGAAATTATGATCATGTCTCTTTTATTGGTGAAAAAACTGAGCCCCTGAAAGGTTAAATGACTTTCCGGGTTAGCCCTGTGGTCAGAAAGAGACAAAACTGTAACTTAGGTTTCCTTACGCCTAGCCCACTGCTCTGAGAAACAGTGAGCCATGGAGGAGATGCCTTAGATGATAATACTGATGATCTGAATAATAGTAATTAGAATCATAATATTAGGTTATGAATATTTTATGCTCACAGTGTATCAGGTTCTCTGCTAAGCACTTGACCTGCAGTACTCTGTACCACTGAATCTTACCCACAGCACATCCCCATTTTATAGATGAGAAAACTGACATACAGGTGAAGTAACTTCCTCAAGATTGCAGAGTTTATAAGAATCAAAGTTGGGATTCGAACCCAGGTCTGACACATGCACGACTGGGAGCAGTCCCATCCGACGATGGTCGCGAGGGCAGAAGCTTGTCCCGGAGCACCGAACAGTCACTCAGCCAGCAGAGAGACACTGCTGCTGGGGCACAGGAGATCCATCTCCTCTTTATTAGCTTTCAGTGGGGAAAGTGATCTGCCCCACATGTAGAAGGCATTTTTCTTCACTAACTCAGCCCTCCAGAACTGTAATAGAGACTCAGGATCAGCTATTATACTACAAGTATTTGCATAAAATAGCCTAATTATGTAGTTGGACAAACAAGTCTTAGCTGGACGCTGTTGCCATTAAATCATCAAGAATATTCACATTTTTATTTCCTCAATATGGAATGCATTAAAACAACAGTGATTTTACAGGCATTTATCTTTATGTACTTTCTGCACATTTTCTTTATCTCTGCCTCTGCCTCTCCTTAAAGCTGAAGCCTCCCAGGCACTGTAATTCATAAAACGTGTGGTGGGACTTGACTTGGTCCCAGTTATCTGCCTGCCTGAGTCTTGGGTCCAGCAGCAGAACACAGTCTGGGAAATGTCTGCGCCCAGCCCCAGCCTAGGCCCCTAAGGAGCTGGGGGTGGGGATCAAGAGGCGAAGTTTCTTGGGAGCAGGAGAGTGCAGCCTCAGCCTGCCTTTCTGAAGCATTAGCTGCTGAGCTACATGTATATTGCGATCAAAACATCTTCCTCGGGTTGTCAGGCAGCCCCTTTCAAATTGGGCAGTATCCCCATTTGCTGGCTTCAACTTCAAAATTCATACCTCATAATGTTGGGAACTAAGAACTTCTTAGCACTGTGACATGTATCTCCATTCTGGAGTCATCAAGGTGTGTTTGCAATTAAGTTTGTGATTTCGAAAACCAAAAAAAATTGAACTTGAAATAAATTTGTGGTCTCTGGTCTGTAGTGTGACCTACCAGACGGAAAAGACCTCTTTTTAAAAGCAGCTAGTATTCTAAAATATTCCAGAGCTTCAGTCATGTGCCACAAAGGGTACAGGGTTAGGAATAACACAAACGGCAGTGACACTGGCCTCCTTCTCCCTCAGAGGGCAATTCGTGTTTGCTTTCGATTCCATTAATCTTCCCATTTTTTATTTTCTCCATAATGTATACATTCCAAACAGCACATGCCTGGCACTTACATGGATGCATTTACCTTCTAAATTCCACATGAATGATGTTTTTCATCAGCCATTAAAGATTTTGCTTTTCAAAGTGCACATTACTCCAGTGTGGTCCCATGTGCAGTTCTGCCTGTAAACTCTTGCACTTGATGCTGATGGCTCAGCAGGGAGCGTCTGCCTGGGCCTGCAGGCTGCTCGGGGGAGTTTGACGCAAGGTGGGGGGCTGGGAGAGGGGGGGCTTGAGCAAGCCCCTGAACATTGGTCCAAATCCAGCTGAAGTCTTTATTCAATCACCAATGTTAGATAGCATGTATGCTATACAATCCGGCCGCAAATTAAATATTAGAGGCCATGAAATATGTGGTCTTTCTGTATCAGTATCCATCAAGGCCTCTGAGTTTTATTTACAGTCTCAGAATTAATCCCTTCGTGCCTTAGGGGAAAGACAGAGGTTAACGGAGTCTGTGGAGCAAGACCTGCTGCCACTGGATTTCTGGCATCTCACCACCGGAAGGAACCAGTCAGGTGACCTTCCACGTAATTATCTTAAATATGTGAGGGGGTTTGTTGGTATTTGTCTAAGACAGGGAATGACAAATCAAGCCCCCAATCACATCCCTCCCCCCTGTGGAGAGGAGGGTGGGTCCCTTGGGGCTCTAACCCTAAGACACAACATCAGAATAGAAAACAAAGTAGCTCTTCATTATTTGGATTGATACTGATGCCACCAGACATTTGGACATCGAGAAATCATTTTTGATGCCTAAAAGTGCCTTATCTAAGGTTGAGAAACAGACTATTATTTTTCCTTCTGAATTTAATAACATGCTGACATAATTTCTTTGCTGCCTTTCAGAACTTTTGTCACAAAACGTAAACTTAAGCTTTATGTTTTAAAAAAAATTACGATAATATGTGTTAGAAGTCTCATGGTACATAGAAGAAACTTGATACCACTTCTATTTGTTTTGATACAAACTCTTCTTGCTAAGTAATTTCCACCTATGTTTGTTAATACATTTGAAGGAATTCCTTTAAAACAAATGGCAGATGGTTTTACATCATCCCTAGCAAGCTTTTGGGGAAGGTCATGGATATCATGGATCCTTTGAGAATTTTATGAAAACAAGGAGCCGTTGGAAAAGGCAACTAAATTTTAAATGTTTGCTTGCTATTTTAGTTTAAGGTTCCCCAAAGCTTGGCCATGAACCTCCGATTGATATACCTCTCATCTAGAAGGATTTGAAACAGCAACTGGGGCCAGCGTCACTAGCGTCCCCACGATGACCATGGCCTGACCTAACTCTTATTTTTAATCAGGTGTGCATTCACAATGAGGAAACACTCTGCAAAGGGATTTCTGTTACGAGGATTTATGGATCAATGCTTTCAGCGTGTGGTTAATCTCAAATTTTCTCTTTGATTTTTATCATTATAGTCAATGCTGTTTTCATTTGAAATATTCTTGTTTAAACTTTCTCCTGAGGGCTTGTTTTATTTTTCCTTCCCGTGTGAAATGCTCAAAACTCCTTCTTAATAGTATAGACTGGTGGGGTTCCACTGAGTAGATAGCTACCTGGTAAAGTATTTGTTTATCCACTTTGCTGTTTTTAAGTGGCATTTATAGGCTAACAAAATGGATGTTCATGGTGTGCTCCTGTTGTAGCCTGAAGAGGATCATGATTTTTTTCCCTTAATTTTTGCTTGGCGTTAGAGACTTTATTATTTTGACTGATTAGCGGGACGTGTTAAGTACTTTTGTACAAATACGTTATCACGCATCTGGATATTTTCAGTGATGAAATATGCCCCTCATTTTCACAACTGAAAAAAATTGCTCTCAGCTTTGCAAGTTCCTCTGTCCTTTCCCCGGAGAACGATAGGCAGGCGGCGCCTCCCCAGACGCCCCCCTCCTGGTGTCTTTGATCATTGCTGGGTGCAGTGTTCTCTGAGCATCTAAAATCGAAATCTTTGAACAGGAAGCCAGATTGCTCAGCTCCTTTTGGTTTTCAGGGATGACAGAAAAATATCTCATAGGATATAACCATTCCAACTCACTGGTTCAAAAAAATCTCTTTCTGACATCAGCGCTTACTGCCAGCTCTAATACCTTAGTAATTTCCATTTCAGTTTATTAAATCATAAAATTTTATATGCACACAGATAGGAACTTTATAAATAGACCTCCAGAAAAGGGCAAATTCTGCCACTGAGTGCCAGGGCACACCTCTGGTTCCCATCAGTGCTTGTTGTAATTATGAGTAAAAGAGCAGATACTGGGTGTCTTATGTGTAATACGTAATTTAACAGCTTACGGTGTGTGCCCAGGACTTTTTAGGGGTAATATCAGATAAAAGGTGCTTTATTGTCTTTCATTTGGTTATGAAACCTGCTAATATAACATCTGTTGGCTGTATTTTTAAAACTAATGCGTTTCCTTCCTTTTATTCTCTTTTGCTATCCCTTTTTCTTTCTGCTTATCCTCCAAACTGCTGCTTTCACCCTTGCTCCAATCAGCTTGACTCTCAGGTTAGTACTTTCAGTTTTTCTTCTAACCTCCTTTCCCTCCTAAACTCAATTTATTGCTTGCACTTGTTTACCAAAAACATTTCTGAAATGGTTTTCCTCTGGCCACCACATTTTTTTCTTTTTAATTTCATCCCATGCCTAGGGAAGGTTTACTTTATGAGAAAGCTGTCTAGGTGGGAGAAGATAGAAATAATTCACTGTTGTATTATTTGATACACTCTATTCCTGGATTATAAAATCAGTTAGAGAAATTATCGGGAAAACTCCCTAATGCAAAATTGACTGCATGATGGTAAAACATGGAGCAGTGGAAAAAACAAAATGCAGGATGCTAAATTTAACCTAGGAGAACAAAAGCTTTGCCCGTGACACAGCAACTTGAAAGCTGAATTTAATAGTGCAAACCATTCATACTTTTCGCTTAATAAATCACTGTGTTTTGAAAGATTTATAATACTTTTTTAAAGTCACTTTTGAAAATTATCAGTGTGTTAGTAACATATTGTACACACATGTTATTTCCTGTCATTGTTTTGGTTTTTAACTTTTTAACTTCATTTTTATTAGCCATAAGACATACTTTAATTACCTAGGGCGTAGCATATGGAACCAAATGTAAAACTAGATACAGTGTCGACTTTGGGCACCCCAATATGAGAAGCGAAATGGACATTTTGTTTGAAAATGCATCCCTGGTTCAATTCCTCGAAGATGTGGGGGCCCAACTCAATAATTGGTCCTCTTTTAAGTCAAGCAAGACTTCTGTTTCCCATAATACATAGTAAAGGCTAGTGATTTCTTTATTGTTCAGTCAATGAGTTTACTAAAAAATGCTCAGTGATTTGGGGTACGTAGGCTTAAAAAAAGACTCAAATTAAATTGGTAGCCAGTATAGTTGCTGTTTTGAGAAGCAAGCTATATTATTTTTCTCTCTTTATTCGGGGTATGTACCTCTTTATCCCGTCCACTGCTTAGCACCCAAGCCACCAAACCAATGCATTTACAGCAGCAACAAATAATTTCAAAATGAGGCCTCCTGCCCACACACTAGTTTTGTTCCATCACCTGCTCCCAACCCCTGTGGCTCATAGTCCTTGAAAATGACCCCCTTCCCTGCTATTCCCACATACCATGTGGGGTGCCCCACAGGACCTGCCTTGAACTTCATTACATTGATGGAAGCTGGTTCTCAGTCGTTCCCTAAACTGTGATCTAAACAGAGATGAAAAGTGTGGCCCTACAGAACTGTTCTCACCAAACACCTAATGACTATTTGTTCACTTTCTGATGCCTCTGTGTACAGAAACAGACATCATAATGTGGGTGGAGGGGGGTGGGGCTTGGCCGCACTGCATCCAAACCTTTCCTCCAAGCTTTGGATCCAATCATTTAATGAAGCTTTAAGCTTTTCTCCTTGCCTGTCTCTTTTGTTTTCTTTCTCATTTTGCCTTCCCTTTGTTACCCCTAATCTGATCTATTGACACGGAAGCCCTTGAGACCAGGGACCCCTTTTGCCCTGACACCTCAGGTCCCTGCCTGGGGTTCCCATGTTGTCCACAGGCCGTCTGCTATGTCTTTTCTGTGCCAGGGGCTGTATCGTACAGTATTTAGCTTTGTCTTATTTCACGGTGAATGAACATGAACTCTGACCCTCAGAAAACAGGATGCAGGATTCGGGGTGGAAGAGGTTGAAGGAAATGGGACTCTCTGGCTATGGGGCCAGGAGTGCTGATTGGGTTGGTAAAATGCGCATGCCAGGTCCAGTTGAGTGACTGTGTGCAGTGGTCAAATCAAGAGCTCAATATTATTTAACGTCTTGCCCCAAACAAACATGATGGGGATAATGTGTAATTTGGTATACAGTCTCGTTATAGTTTTAGTGTAGGAGGAATTGGGCAGCCCTGCTTTCCTGGAAACAAAAATGTCTGCAGAGTCCTGGAAGCTTTCTTGAGCTTTGACAAGTTTCCAGAGTTAACTATGCTTTTTTTCCCGACCACTTCCAGGTTTACCAGTTAAAATGAATTGTAACAATTGGAGGAAATACAGGCTCTCTAGCCCATGTACTTTATATAGCTCACAATTGAGATACATAGACTTGTGAGTGCGTACATACATATACTGGGGGTGCCAAAAAATGTACACAAGTGGACACCTTGGTCAACATTGCTTAAGCAGTAGTTCACCATAATCAGAAGTGTCTGGACGCTGATGGTAACCACTTTGAGCGCCTCTTCTAATTGCAGGGGTCAAGCATGACTTGTATTCATCTTTTGTTATCGGCATATATTGAGTATTACAATTTTAATACTTTTCCTTTCTTAAAATGTGTATACATTTTTTTGGCACCCTCTGTATGTGTATATATACATAAATGTATATGTGTCTATACATTTGTCGTATATTTAAAAAAAAATGTCTGACCTTTCTCACCATAGAAGGTTTAAGTCTGCCTGGTACTCCCTATCGCCCATTCTCAAGTTTGAAATATTCCCTAACTCTTGGGCCTTTACTATGTGTTGTAGAATCCGTGGGAAATTCTCCCCTCCAACGCGCTCTCTCTCTCTCTCTCTCTCTCTCTCTCTCTCTCTCTCTTTTAATGGCCTCACTTCCTTTTCAAATTCTGTGTTGACTCTCATGCTTAAATTCGGGTGGACAGATGTTAAATATTGGGTTTGGTAAAATACAAATGTCATATTTGAAACCTGTTTAGGTTCTCACTCCAGAAAACTCCACTTCTGTCAAGAATCTCTTTGCACACAAACCAATGGGAAGCCAGAGAGGTTTAACATGATCCCTGCATTGTACTCAGGGGGAGGGTTTATGTGAAACTTGCTCTTTTATAGGAACTATTTGCGACATTAGTGTGTGACTTATGACAAATGAGGTTATATAGATAAATGTATGCAGCAATTGACTAAAAAAAAAAAAAAAGAAAAAAGAAAAAGTATCCTTTGGGAATCAGTTTAAAATCTTGTCAGAGAAACAACCAAATAAAACAAGAAGGCTTGGGCCTCTCCTGGGCTCTCTCATCTTCCAATTAGCTTTGGATCCTGGGTCAGCTGCTTCCTTATTTGTGCCTCAGTATCCCCTCTTGAAGAGGAAGAATCTGTCTTTGGAGCAGGTCACCTGGGATCCTCTCTGCACATGTCCAATGGAGGGGGTATTGGTGACAGGCCCGATGCATCTCCCCGGCAGGCAGGCTCCAGCTGATGGCTGGCACCTGGCAGCAGGCGTGAGCTCATTGTTACAGAGTCACTTCAAACACTTCTACCAAAATAAACTCTTTGTGATGTTTCCCCAAAGCTGAGCCCAGCACTCTCAATCCCTCATTCTTCCAGCAAAAGATGAAGTCACTCCTCCCGGACCTCAGAGCCCTGCTGCCCAAAGAAATAATGAAAAACATCTTGCCCAGAGCATCCCCTTGCTGTCCTGCAATTTCCTTTGTGCAGGGTCTGTTCTTGTACCCATTTCCCCCACAAATACACACTGAGCATCTCTTGTCTGCTACGCTGAGCACTAGATGCTGACCTGGCGTTTCCAAAAAGCAGCTGATGGAAAACTGACCAAACTGTTTTGGGAATGCTGCGTATTACGTTCTTTTTTTTGTATTTGTGGTGCATTTTGGTGCTACTGTTAATAGAAAGAGCAGAAGTAGCAGCAGCAGTAATAACAATGGGCGCCAACTAAATGCCAGTGCCGAATTAATCATTTTATGTAGCATTTACTTCTCATAATGATGGCGTGAGGTTGGGATGCCATTTCTTCCATATTACAGAAGAGGAAGCTGGAGTTCATAAAAGTTAAATATTTTCCCCAAGTGAAACAGCTAGTAAGTGAAGGGGTTGGGTTTTTTCCCCCCAAAAGCCAATTCTTTCTGATTTACAGATTGAACGTTTTGCCACTTCAGCTCCAGTTGCACAGCACAACGTCTGAGAAGACCTGCAGTAGGGAAATCTGTGCACTTGTGTTCAGTCTGCAGTTTCCCAAATATGGTGCTCATAGAATATATGCCATGAACTACTTTGAGGAACTACTTTGAGATTCATGCCCCTGACTCACTCCGCCTATTCCAGGCTGAGCTGGCTTCTTGTATACAAATCCTGCCTCTCTAGGGCCAGCTCAGGTGTCGCCTCTTCCATCCAGCCTGCTCTGAATCCCCTCAGGCAGATGCAGTTTCTCCCTTCTTTGATACCCTCAGAGCTTTATCTGAACCCTTTTCCTGACTGTGTCATACCCTACCTCAAATTGGGGCAGGTAATTAGTGTGCCAGGTGTCCTAGCAGGAGGCGGCCTCCTTGAGCATTGGCTGGGTCTCTAGCTTGATGCGCTGTTGTGGCACACACTGGAGGTGGCAGCCATACTCCTGAATGTTGTTGAATAAATGACTATTGAAGAAAGACACTACCATTAGCTTCGTCTCACCCCTCCCACCCTTTACTTGGTCCCTGCAGAGATTTGCAGGTGGGCTCTTTCTGGAAGCTGAGTTGACTCCAGTGGCTATTATGTCTAGCTTCAGACAGGAAGCCTTAAGAAAAGATATGGTTGGTTTCCTATCAAGTTGGATGCGTGAAAGTTCAAGAATAATAAAAACACAAATAAGAGGAGAGGGGAGAAGCCCTCCTTCTGAACTTACCTCTTTTTCTCCCTCCCTCCCTCATTCCTTCTCTTCCCTTCTACCTTCCTGTCTCCCTTCCTGCTTCCCTTCTTACTTCTCTCCCTCCCGCCTTAGTTCCCTCCTTCCTTCCTTTCCTCTCTCTGTCCCTTCATTCCCCTCTTTTCTTGACTATTCATTGAAATCCTTCTCCATGCAAGGGTCTGTGCTGGGTGTTGGGGATATAGCACTAAAACAAACATGACCGCTCCCCTCACTGAATTCAAAGACCAACACTTCCTATAAGGAAGGATTTGGCCACTAAGAAAAATAGTTTGTCCCAGTTATACTAATAACTGGAAAAACTGGGTTTCAGGTGTTTTTTAAAACTCCTTTTCCTGTTGGGGTTG